GAGCACCGCCAGGAGTGACCAGGAATAACGGTCACAAGCTGGCAGAGGGTAGGTTTAGGTTAGATATCAGGAGGCGCTACTTCACGGTCAGGGCGGCTAGGGTCTGGAACCAACTTCCAAGAGAAGTGGTGCTGGCTCCTACCCTGGGGGTTTTTAAGAGGAGGTTAGATGAACACCTTGCTGGGGTCGTTTGACCCTAATACTCTTTCCTGCCATGGCAGGGGGTCGGACTAGATGATCTGCTCAGGTCCCTTCCAACCCTAGAAACTATGAAACATTACCAGAGTTCCCCTGCTGCCAAATTTCTGAACCCATGAGGATCCAGTTTTCTCACATATGATGTGCACCTTAAGTTTCACCAGCTTGTTTGGTGAAAAGGTGTGGGTTACAGATGACAAAATAGGGTACATATCTTGTGCCAAAGTCTTGAGTCTAAAAATGATGGTTAGCAGTTGTACTCACTAAGCCAATGGAGATATTTTAATTAAATATAGAAGACATGCTTGATTTCTTTGCTCTTCCTCTGTGGTGCTACGGAAAAAGTTAATTAAGGTCCCTATCCTACCCCAAAATCCAATATGCCCCTTCTCAAGCCTACTACGAAATATCACTTTTACTTTAGTGGGCATTATAAAGCCCTAAAAATGTATAGCTGTCAAATTAGTGTTTGCTTTTTGTATACAATATATTCATTTCCCATCCTCTCCATTGCCTCTGAGCCAACCAGAAAGCCAAGCGAGCATGCAACAAGCAACCACTCAACAAGGAGTGTTTCTGCTTAACCTGCTACAAGTAGACAGAGCTAGGTTGTAACTACAGGTTTCCCTCAATTTATGCGGGTTCTTTATATGCAAATTCGCTCTTATGCGATGAGCATATTTAGACTCAAGATTCATCATATGCGAGGTAAATTCGCTCTTACGTGATCGGCATAGATGCGCCCCCCCCCCGCCCCAAGCAGGTAAGTCTGTAGGGGGAGGGGAAGGGGCCGTGGCTGCACTCACCCCAGGCCCGGCTGCAGTGGCCCCAGGAGCGGCCAGTGCCAGCTGCCTGCAACCACTGGGCTGCACCAAGCTCCGCCTGTCCTCCCATGCCCGGGCTCCTCCCAGCTCCTGGGCTGTGCCATGCCGTGGTGCAGGCAGCTGGTGTTGTCTGCTCCTGGGGCTGCTCCAGCATGGGCTGGGGTGAGTGCGGACAAGTGGAGCCCTTGGCGGTACTGGGCGCAGCACTCACCCCAGCCCCAGCTGCAGCAACCCCAAAAGCAGCCAACACCAGCTGCCTGCACTAGGGCATGACACATCCCAGGAGCAGAGGTGAGCGGGGACAGGCGGAGCATGGTACAGCTCAGCAGCTGCAGAGAGCTGGCACTGGCCATTCCTGGGGCTGCTGCAGCCAGGGCTAGGGTAAGTGCTGCTCTGTTCCCTCAGCTTTGCTGCTTTGTGCAGCCCCGGGAATGGCACCCTTCCCCCCACCTCTTCCCTAGTCCCAGCCTCACTCCCTCCCTCATCACCATGGGAACCTATCCCTATTTGTTACATTGTAAAGTGGGTTTGCTTTATGCAATTTCAATTTATGCACTGTTCTCTGGGAACACATATACAGCTTAAATATGAGGGAAACCTGTAGTTTCAATCTGATGCCAATCATTCAATGTAATGATTTCCCTGTCATCACTCCCCACTTGAATAGTTGCAAGTGAAAAAGCACTCAGGTCCAATATTCATGGAGGTAGGGAAGAAGGTTGCTTTACCTTTGGTTCAAGAATTAGTTCTACCCTTTCATTAGTTTCTTCCTCTTCTGAGTCTGAATTTCCTGCTTTGATATCCAGTTGCTCAAAAGCACTGTCCAGGACCTGCAACCCATAGTTCACCGCTTCCTGGATCTTTGGGATCAGATCTGCTTCTTTTTGTTCCCGAGTTTTCTCCTGGAGAAGTCAGAGAGAAACATTTTTCTGTTTAGTTTTGGTTAGGGTTGTTCTGGTTGTAAAATGTAACTACCAAAGTTCAGGTCAATAATATAAGGCAATGCTTAACAGAGCTACCTTACTACATGCCAGAGAAAATATTCCAAGTAAGCTTCAAGATTTCACATAGTTAAAATGTGTCCTTTTTTACCTGAAATTTAATTAAGAACTCCCAAAATGAACTGTTTTCTGCATCTGTACAATCCACTGGCTAAAGACTTCCTAACATTGCACCATTAGCAGAACTTTGGCTACAATGTCAGGTCTACCATAAAGCCGCGATTTAGAAAGTGGATTTAACTCTTCCTACAAACACACATTACACTTTAAGACCTAAACAAAATCAGCTATCAGACAAGGAAAGCTAGCGTAGTAAAGGAACCACAGGCAGACAATATAGCAGTGATCCTCAATAGCGCTCCTGCATTCTTTTGTTGCACTGTTAACTGACTCTGACTTTCAGGAGCAAGATGAATAGGATTTGGCCTACAAGTTGCAAAAATCACAGGGAAAGTTTGTCTGCTTCTGTTTTCTGAACCTCCAAGCACACTGACAGCACACAGAGTTAAATCAATTTACCTGTTCCGCTTTGTCTCCAACTTCAGTTTTGGGAATGGGTTCTTCTACCTCTTCATCATACACTCTCTATGGATTTAAGCAAATTAATTTAAATAAAATGTAATGCATTGATGGAGGTGCTAAACACCAAGCTTCTCCACAAGGCAAAAGGAATATCTAAGTGGGTCAATTAATGCCCCATTAAAAACAGACCAACATGTAACACTTACATTAAAAAGATCCCATGATGCTATTTTCAAGCTGGCCTCAGTGCATTTAATTAGGACAGTTACTTCCAGCTCCTAGTTTTGCATTGTTAGAAGGTTTGCTGGCTTCCTTTCTGCAAGGATCTCACCAGAATGTTATGATCATCAGATAAGTCTCAGAGCTCTTAGACTAAAGGGGATCTGCTGGGTCAGAGTCCAGACCTCATTCATCCCTGGAAACCACATCATATAAGCCTTTCCATAAGCTGATTCAGCTTGGTTTTAAGACTAGCCTGGGGTTGTCTCACCCCCCACTACTCCTATTTGGAGACTGCTCTTGAATCTTAATCCTCTTATGGATAAAGACTTGATTTCTAGCCTAAACTTATTCAGAGCCAGTTTATGCACTGTATTCTTGTGCCACCACCATACAGTACTTTATCCTAAATAGCTTTCCTCCTTTTCTGGTGTTTACTCTTCAAATGCCACTATAATATCATCCCTCAGCCTTTCTCGGAGATAGCCCTTTTCTGCACCTCTTCCTGCTAAAATTAGTCTCTCTTGAATAGAGGTGTGCAGAACTGTACACAAGAGTCTCATCATTCCACAGATTAGTGAAGGCATAGGAAACTTAGGAAAAACAATTAAAATCATCCCTCTGAATACAAGTATTTCAATTTTTGACCAACCAACTTGAGACAACTTGGTCCAGTCCTTCAGAGATTTTAAAACAGTCACACTATCACCAGCTTTTTTCAAAGTTATTATACAGCAGTGTTATGCTGGGCACAATATTACTTGGTCAAATAGATATTACAAGTAACTAAAAATAAAGGCACCATTTCTCCATTGGGCTGTCCTTTGCAAAGTATTGTTACTTTTTTAAAGCAAAGCACAATCAGTACAATGCTGAGGAAAGCACAATATGTGATGAACTGCCGAGTGCTTTAGCATGCCTAAAGAAATTTAAACCATACATCATTATGACACTGCTTCCTTAGTAAGCATATAACGCTAACACTTCAAACCAATCTTTGCTGAAATACTGATGTTCACAATTTGTAAGCACTAAATATTTGCAACCAATACCATTTTTTAACAAGCAACAGTGACAACTGCAATTATATTCCAACCACAACCTCTGATGAAGCTAGCTACCAGCATAATAAAAAAAGATGCTTCAACTTGCATAATGCGCATCCTAAAGTTATATGTGCAACTTCAGTATAAGACATGTTGAGATGCAACCACTATATCTGCCCTACTTCCAAAAGCAGTGCAGATATATTGCATGGATTCCACTCACCATCTTTCCACAGCCCGTTCTGAGGTAGGTGGCTAGGGCTGATTTACGTCTTGTAAGAAACCTAGTAGAGGTTAAAGCAGGAATCTTTGGTTGTACTCCTGATTCTACCACATACTACTACAGCTAAGAAGTCAGACATGAGCATTCTGGGTGGAAATGTGGTTTAAGCTTTTAGAACATCCTGCTGCTTGCCCCAACACCAACGCCAATTATAATGCATGTCAACAGACTCCATTCTATGGGTGACTTTCACAAACACCCCAGAGTGCCTTACAAATTAAACTACGAAGAATCTTCTTCACAGAAGGAAACCTTATTATACAAACTCATATAACCAAATTGAAGAAGATATTCTAAACCAGGGGTCAGCAACATTTTGCTACACTGAACAGAGCTTACAATCCAACCCCTTACTCCTTGGGGAGTGGAAATTTGCAGCCCAGGTAGCACAAGCTGCCTGTGCTTACCCTTACTGAAGGTGCAGAGGGGCTGGGTAAGTTCAGACACATAAAGCAGTAGGGAGGGCTGTAAAGGAGGGTGCTGCAGCAGGGATAGACAGCTCCATACAGCTGCATAACACCAGATCCTTCATGACACCCCAAGCCAACTCAAACCTTGCTGGGCTGGATTCAACCTCTTGTGCATGCCAGATCCAGCCTGTGGGCAGTAGGTAGTCAACCCCTACCTCCAGGCACAGAGATATAGATATTGGCTATACCACATCAGTCCTCTTCAACTCAAGGGGCTTTTATTCCAAACCCTTTATCATCCTAGTCACTTGCCTCTGGATCCTGTGGAATGCAGCTAATACCAACAAGGGAAAGAAGGAGACATCTCAAGGAGAAGGAGAAGACATTTTAAGCCTAAATATCTCCAAATTATGCCGAGAGAGAGGGACAAGCAGCCTGAGAGTAAAGAAAGTGATCAAATTACCTTGACCCAGGGGAAAAATGCTCTCTATATTAATGTAAGAGTTTGTCATTTTTCCACACCACAACAGATCTGGTATCAACTTATTTGAAGTACAAGCCTGACGTTAGAATCTGGCGTACTCACGTTCTCAATGAACTGTGTGTTGGACAACATAAGAAAATCATTGAAGACATTATGTAGACGACAGTCTGTGGCTTTCGTTTCGTGAATCAACCCATCCACTTGCTTTTTAATTTCATGTGTCCTGGAGATGGTCTGCTGGGAAAATTCTTGTAGAAAACGCAGGAGCTATTTAGAACATGGGAGGAAATGTTGTTTAATTTCTGATACCTTAAACCACAAGAGACCCCAGAGACCTTGGAGACAGCAACTCAGTCAATTGAGAGGGCAGTGTCAAAATAAAGGATTTTACATTACACAACTCCTAACATGGGTGCCTAATGCTCAATATTTGGATTTTCCTGTAACAGGTTCTCCCCAGTATTTTTGTGGTCAATTTTGTATTTCTCTCAGGATCAGTTTATCCCTGTCAATGACCCACCCACAAAGATTAAAGCAAAAGAGGACTCCAATGGCATGAAGCAGGACTGAACGCAAGTGGCAGCAGACACTTCTCCATGTACTGCCATGCCACCATCTACCAGACATGCGCTATGAGCATTATGGCTCCATGAGGACTCTGAGGACTCAATTGGGGGGGGAGGGAAAGCAGGGCACAGCTAGGGATACCTGCTGTCCCTGGTGCTATTGCTACTGTAAGCATGAAATACGTTGTCCGCACACCAGTGCCCGACCTGTCACCGCTCCTGCTCGCACTGGACAGGGCCGGCAGAGCGGCAGCGAAGAGAGGAGCTCGCAGATGCTGCCGCTGGAGTGGGTGGTTGTGGGGGCCCGGGAGCCCTCCACCAGCTCTTGGTCTCTACACGTGTCCAGACGCCCCGCGGAAATCTCGTGCTCTCAAGGCCTCAGCGGGGCCCCTTCCCGCCCCCCGGGCCCGGCCGCGCCGCGCGCTCACCCCCGCGTCCGAAGCCAGCGACCAGGCCTGGCTGCCCCTCCGGATCTCGTCCAGCGACCAGGGCCGCTCCCACACCGGCGCCGCCCCGTTCATCTGCGGGCGCAGGGTCGGCAGGCACGGGGCGAAACAAGGTGAAGCCCGGGCCCCGATCCGCCAAACGCTGGCGGTCAGCTGATCCTGTCACGTGACCGGCACTATCACATGACCGCAGCTAGGCACGGGGAGGGGAGATTTCTGCTCCGTGCGGGGCGGGGCCACGCTTGCGCAGTGCTGGAGCCCGAGGGCGGCGGTGGGAGTAGTCTGTGCAGTGGCTGCGGTCGGGGCGGCGACCTTCGTACCCGGCGGCGGGAGAGCGCCCGGAGCAGGGCTGCTCCTTTGGAGGTCGCTGAAGCAGCCAGTTGTTAATATCCGCAGAAGTCAGCGGAGTCCTGACGTACGGGGGCTCTGCTCGAAGGCCCAAATCCCTGCCCGCCTCCTTCCGACTCTAGTCCCGGGGCCAGTGCAGAAGCGGGCGGGGAGGCGAGGGGAGCAGCAAAGGAAGCGGGAAGCTGGGCCGGACCCACCTAGAGACCGACCAGATCAGCAAAGGAGGCAGGCTAGGATTGGATGGCACTGATTTAAGGATCAGGCCTTTAAAAATGTACCTGGTAGCAAAGCACCAGCTCAAACCAAGCGTTGCCCTCTTTGCAGCCTGAGCACAAGAAACGGACCTCAAGGAACAGCCCCTCCGGGACATCTGTGAATTGAATGGCACCCGGTTTTGAAAATTAATGTATAACTGTTCCTCTCCATGGAAATCTTTAATAAAAGGTGAAAAACAGATCTACTGACCTGCTTTTCTCCTCGAACCTCCCAGCACCTTTCAGAGGATCTGGCAGCACCATCGGGTGCCTTAGCACCCTGATTGAGCAACATGCCCCTAAAGGATCCTGAAGACACAGATAAAAGGACTACCTTCTAGAGCACTTTCTGGAGGGTCTCCTGGGGGATCAAAGGGGTGTGAGCCAGGAGCCCCAAGGTTAGGCCCTTGCTACTATCTCCCTAGCAAGAATGACTCCCAGTATCTATCTCAGCCAATGATGCACCTTTACCTGGGATACCTGCAGATGCACTGTGCTTACTGGACTGCAGCCCATGGTTTAAAGGGGAAGGGGGGTGATCAGTATGCTGCCTCTGACTGGTAGGAACAGGTGCCATTCAGTAGGCAGAACATCTCTTTCTCCCTTTTCTATAACCTGCGTGGGGGCTGTCAGCCAGTGAAGCAGCACTTGAGAACCTGCTGTTGCATGCAGAGCTCAAACCTGGGAGAAGGGCTATGCTGGGGAAGAGGAAGCATGCGTGAGGAGGGAGAAGAAACATGGCATTTGCTAGAATTTCCTTATCTAGCCTCCGGTTTGATTGTCCTGGGTGTCAAACAGCAGCTAGCTGTCTGGCCCCTGGCACAGGTTCACTTATTGGCACAATGGGACCTGTTCCCCAGTCCTAATAATCGCACTTCCTGCTGTGCCCAGGATCATAATCTACACTGCACTGGCATTAGAAGGCTGGTGCCTCATGAACCTATGTGGTCTTGGGGCTGGGATCAACAATCAGCTTACCATTAGTGCCAGCCCCAGGACTGCATAGGAACAAGTTCAACACTCTGGTGCAGTCCCAGAGCTGAGACTGACAATAAGATGGTTGTCAGGCCCAGTACCATGACTGTACAAGTGCCAAACTTGGCTTGGTGCAGTCCTGGAGCTGGAACTGACAGCACCAGGGCTGATATCAGAGCACTACCATACAGCTGGTATCAGGCTCCATGGTAAGGACCCTGCCACAGTTTAGTTCAGTTTAAAGTGCAATGGAGACCAACCACAACATTATTATGCATATTTTGTTAAATGAGTTCATGGCTTATTTTCCATTTTATTACACTGAATGTGTGACCGGGCTACTATTTACATGCAATAAACTGGTTAATCGTGTCTTAAGTGTAACATCTGCCAGGGGCTCCAATGCAGTTTGGGATTAGGATTGCCATCCCTTTCTTCCTTGTTTCTGGGGTCTTCATGCTCTCCACTGGTTCTCCCCTTGAGGTCCTACAAATTGTCCCAACCAGGTTTTGTAGAATCATAGAAAATTAGAGTTAAAAGATACCTCAGGAGGCCATCTAGTCCAAACTCATGCTCAAGCAGGACCATCCCCAACTAGATCATCTCAGCCAAGGCTTTGTCTAGCTGGGTCTTAACACAACCTCCAAGGATGGAGATTCCTCAACCTGTCTGGGTAATCTGTTCCAGTATTTACTACCCTCCTAGTGAGAAAGTTTTTCCTGACATCTAACCATGCGGAGGACTCCATGCCCATGATAGCATAGAACTCTTTAAAGAAGCAGCATGTTAAGAAGGAAGTCTATTCCACAGGATGACCTGTTCATACACTTGGCAGAGATCTTTTGCTTTGGCCTTACAGTTTCTTGTTCCACTCACAACCCTTTGCTATTTTCCTTCATGAGCTCCTTGTATATGATGCTGTTCTGCCAAATTGTGCTTGCACAGCACCTTCCTGCAGGTTTAAGAGCTCTTCCTTTTTGCTCCAGACAGGACCTGGAGGCATATACACCAGCCTGAATCCAGTTAGCTCTTGGACTGTGCTGCGCATACTCAAATAATACAGCACAGGATTTGACGTGTAATCTGCAAATGGGTTAGGAGGTGGATTGTAGATCTGTCAGGACCCCAAAAGTATCCTCTCTTGGTATGTTTTAAATAAACAACACTTAGTACAAGTTGAGTCATGTTGGCTGATGTCAGAAGTAACGCCCTTGAAACAGTTTCCCTTTCTCCCACTGCCCTGTTTTCAGCCAGAACATTCAAAAGGTCAACATGAGTCCTCTTTCTATTTTATTTAGCACTACATGTTCTTGTCCTCCTAATTGTTGCGTAATTCAGGCAGAAGTGATAGGATAGAGTCCCCCTATTTGTCTAATGCCATACCTACCTGGAGGGAATTCAGCTTCAGCTGTATTTTTTTATGTGGCTTATGTGTCATGAACAAGTAGTTCTTCATTATGCAATGCCATTTAAAAATTCTCATACACATCAGTAATTATTAGATACATGGACCTTTATAGCAGTATGTCAAGACTCAGTGCAGGAAAGACAGTAGACAGCGGGCACATTTACACATGTGCCTGACTGTGCAGTTGTTACTGCTTTAGCAAGTACTAAATGACTGCACAGTAACAACTGGTACTGCGCAGTCCAGGCACGACACAGATAATATCCGACCCTATTGTGTAGTAGCAATGAGCTACTGTGCGGTAGCTCGTTGCTACCGTGCAATAGCAGCAGCGTCACAGTTCGTGCCTGTCAACACTACATTGCCATAACAACATAGTGTCTCCTGTAGACGCGTCCAGTGACCAATAAAAGAATGGTTCACTTCCTTTTAGTTAACACACATTAGGCTATTATTGATCATAGACAAACCTGAAGCTTGAAGCACCTCTCCTGCTAACTCCCCTTTCTAATGGAAGTTTTAAAAAACTCATTGTAACCTCTCATCACCACTACTTCTCTCACCCAGCAAATGCCCATGTAGCTGACTCATGGTCTTCCAGGCTATGAAAATGTATCAGCTCTGTCTTCACAAATATGTACTCACATTAGTGTAAAATCAGTTTAATCAGTGTAAAATCGTCTTAGCAAATGAACCTTGGTTCAGCCTCTCATGAATCATGATCAAGGCTAGACAAACACCTTGGCGGCGTTGTTTGACTCCAGTACTCTTTCCTGCCATGGCAGGGGATCGGACTCGATGATCTGCTCAGGTGCCTTCCAACCCTACAAACTATGAGACTATGAATATAGGATAAGCTAAAAGTTACAAGTTTGAAAGAATAGGGGAAGTGAATATCAGTTGCCATCTGCAAGCCTTGAAGTGCTTTGCAGTCACAGAGGTAGGCAAAAAATTGTAAGTAAAGGAACTGCCCAAGTTTCCATAGCAAGTCAGGGTCAAAACCAGGAAAAAAACCCAGGTTGCCTGTCAAGTTCGTTCATTCACTATGCAAGTTTGAGAAGAAATGATACTTGGAAATGATGTCTTGTTGGACTTTGACATGGAGTTGGAGGACTAGGAGAAGAGTACTGTTTTCTGTCTGCTTCTCTTTTCTAATCAATCTAGTCTAGCACATCTAGAAAAAGATATTTGATACATACCTATCCTGGATGTCCTGGGCCAGGATGGCTTGCAACTTATGCTTAAAATTTCTTTAGGCTTTACACACATGGAATAGTTTCACTGAAGACAAACTGAACATATACTTAAAGCTAAGTAATATGCTTAGTGCTTGTCTGGCCTAAGGGAGTGATCCAAAAGCTGCTGAATCAACTCCCTTGCCTATCAGGACTAACGTTTCCATTTCTAAACCAATACACGTGACTTCTACACAAATATTTATCTAAGTTATTTACATACCTTCAATGTAAGCAGCATTAGGCATTACAAAACACTTATTCTCTCAGGGTGTGTATATATACTGTAAACACAACTGTCTTCAGGCTGTACAATCACTAAGGCAGAAAGCTTTCAAAATGGTAAGTCAGTATCTCTTATCTTACACTGTAAAAGAAGGAAGTGTATAGCATCTGAATTACATATATTTGAATGACTATTTGGAGGTATCTGTGAAAGGAATAAAAGGTTGAAAGCAAAGGGCTTGTAACACAGTAATTTTAGGTGGCTCCTGGAGCTCTTAACCCCTGGATTGGCTGCATGTTAACACTTTTAAGTGGCTTAAGGCACTCGTTATGCAGCTCAAATAATGTCCTGGTTATGTGGTCCTTAGGCTCTATCACCCTGGCTACCTTTCCCAACAGTGAAAGAATAGGAAAAGCCCCTTTAGTACCATGCATGTACAGCACTTAGCAAGTATTCATTCCTACTTCCACGGAGTTGGGGCTCCCCCACTGCCACCACAGCTGGGGCTACTAAATTCTTCCACGAGCCAAGGCATGGTACTGGCTCTTGCCCGGCCTGGCAGGGTGCTGATAGCTCCATTGAATAGGTGGATTAATGCATGCGCCAGCTGGGCGCAAGCCCAGGGGCCCCTACCAATCCGGGATCCTCATCAGAATAAGGCCAAAAGGGATCTCAAGGGTCACCCAGTCTGGGATCCTCATCAGCAGGGAAGCAAAAGCGGGTATTTAAACTGGGTGCATTTGCACCCAGTTTAAAGCCCTGACTTTCACATTTATTTCCCTGCTGTAGCCAGAAGCAGGGCCCCTCTCCCAGTGGGGCAGGGCTGGGGGGCAGGCTGGGGCAGTGCCGCACCTGGTGGTGGGGGGAGCCAGGCCAGGAGCACTATACAGCGCTGCACCTCTGCAGGCAGGCGGCGGCACTGTGGGGGAGGTCTTGGGGTGGGGGGCTATGGCCCCCCCAATTCACCTTAGCCCCCTGTAGCCATCCCTCCCAGGGCTGCCACCCACCTGCAGAGGCATAGTACAATGCTCCTGGCCTGAGCCGGCCTGGCCCCATGCATGTGTGCAGTGGCACGGACACAGCTGGGCAGCAGCTCCCTGCTGGTAAGTGCAACAGGGCTGGCAGGAAGTGAGATGGAGCCGTGGACTGCTCGTGGGGGTGGGGGGTGCTGCCTCAGAGTGATTGAGAGGGAGGAGGTCCTCTGGGGGGAAAGTGTGTGGTTGGGGGTGTGTCTGTGAGCATCTGGTTGTGTCTGTGAGCATCTGGTTGTGTCTGTGTGTGTCTGCTTGTCTATGTGCATCCATGTGTGTGCGCTTCTGCTTGAGTCTGCTTGTCTGTGCATGTGTGTGTGTGTCTGTGTTTGTGCGTGCGCATGTGTGCGCGCGTCTGCTTGCATCTGTGTGCACATCTCTCTGTGTGCACGTCTGCTTGTGTCTGTGTGTGTGTGCATCTGTGTGTATACATTTGTGTGTGCATGTCTGTGCACACCTGTGTGTGTACACACAGTGTTTCTGTGTGCATCTGCATCTATGTGTCTCTATGCACGTCTGTGCATCTGTATGTATCTATTTCTTTGTGTGTGTCTGTGCACGTGTCTGCATGCACTCATATCTGTTTATTGCAAGGAGTCTGTGTGTGTCCATGTGCAGAGAGTGAGTGAGAGCAGAGTGCGTGCCCGTCTGTGTGCA